CAGCAGGAGGTGGAGATGTGGTGGTGGTGGAGGAGGCGAAGGGCTGAGGGAGGCTGTGTTGCCCTCACAGCGATTTCTCGGCTATCATCATCATCATCGTTTGATTCAGCAGCAATGATGCTTGTTTCGAAGGGGAAGAAGTGCACCGCATTTTGTCTCCGGTGGTACTCGGCTTTCGGGCTTCCGGTCTTCATTGGACATCACCTTTGCCACTGCACAATAGTGCCCCATTTTCTTGCATATCTTGCTTCTTCCCATCGCAAATGGTACCCCTCCTTCGCCGGGTTTGCATCTCATCTCTTCTTTCTTGAAAATGATACCTTTCGTCCAGAACGGCACCCCGTTTCCCGGGAATACACGCTTCCCGTTGCCGGCAATCCCCTCCACCAGGAATGTTTTCCGCTTCTTCAGGCGTGCTTTCCCGTTTTGCATGAAGCAGTACCCTCTTCCAACCGGGAAAGGATGTTCGGCTGCCCGGATTTACTTTCCCCTCTTGTCGGGTTTGTTGGTCCTTCTCGGGGTTGTCCTGCTTTGCAGGATCGTTCTTCACACTTTGCCCGAAGCGCCGTCTTCCGTTCATAGTCGTTTTACTGTTTTTTTTTTTTTTTATTTCTAGATTTGCGTCTCTTCCTCTTAGCGATAATGCTTGTTTTCGTCCACTTTTTTGTTTCGCTTTCCGGAGTTTCGCGCTTTTTTTTTACCGCAAATAACCGTCTTCTTTCGGGATCGTTGCTCAGTTTTCCAGGTCCGTGCTTCCGTTTGCCAAAAATGACAACGCCTCTCATCCAGAACTCTACACGATTTCCAGGTTTTCGGTTATTTCTTTGCCGAAAATGGCACTTTCCATCCACAGTGGCACTCGTGTTTACGCTTCCTTTTACCGAAAATGATGTTTTTTATCTGAAATGGTACCTATCTTTTCAGGACTACTTTTTCCTTTTACCAAAAATTGCCCCCTCCCCCCTCCCCCCTCCCTCTTCCTCCGTTTGGATTGGTGCCTAAACATCCCGGATTATGTCTCTTTGGCTTTCTTAAAGCGTCGTTTTACGTCCAGATTGGTACTTCTTTTCCCAGGTCTATACTCGCTTGCCTTGACGAAAACGATTACGTCGTTTTGCCTCACTTTTTACTCAAATGTAGCGTCATCTCGCTTGGCTATGCGTTATTGCTAAATTTGGCATTTCTTATGTGTTGCTTATTGCATGTGTACTTTAACACAATTCTGGCGCTTCCTAATTGACTTCTGTGCTCGTTTTTTTGGGGAAAAAAACACTTACACTCCTTTGGCTATATTTTGCACTCATCTGATTCAATTTCCTGCATTTTTCCTCCCAAAATGGGTGGCTTTATTCACTTTTGTACCAGGGAACAAACAGGGAAAGGGCCGAGGCGAGACAGAGGGAGGGAGGAAGCAGACTAGAAACAAGAAACGGGGAAAGGGAAAGGAAGCCGTGTCATCCCTTAGGCTCGCAATTTTCATAACTTATGTGCTTAGGAGAATTGCAATTTTTAGCCTTTTCATTAATAAACAGTCAATTTTTGAGTTGTTTTGACCAGTGCTGCACTGACCAGTGGTCAGCCTGGCGGCGATCCTGACGTTCGTTTTGTCTCCTGAACCAGCTTAACGATTCTCCCGACAGGAGCATCATTGAGGTGGAAAGTAAAATAAGGCTGAGTTTTTTATTGGATTGAATACTGGACTGTTTTGTTTATTTACTTAAAGAAAGTATTATTTCCAGGACCACACCGTATGATTTTTCTCACGAAAGGGAAGAAAGCTGAATAAATTTGAGAATTTGTGGTATGTACAGTAATTGATAATCTTCCAGCCAGTAAACTTATCCTTTCATAATCTGTAGCTTTTATTTGTTTGGGCAAACCTGATGCCGATATTCTAGTTGCGAAAGTTTGGGAATGAAAACTTCCGCGTTACATAACATACAGTAGAAATTTCTCGAAGCGACCAAAAGTTTGCCAAATGCTCCTAGAAAGTCGCTAAGCTAGTACTGCCTTCAGAAGACGAAACAGACATCAGGATCGCCGGCAAACTGACCACCATGCAATGCAGCATCGGTCTGAGCTACTGAAAAAGCTGTCAGTTACATTGCTGGAGAACCAGACTGTCAATTGTTCCAAGTAATCCCTAAATATGTTTACCTTTATAGCCTGATCCTAAAGACTGTTGTTTTATGCAGGCCTGATTTTCGTGGTGACATTTTCTCCTTATTCTCGCTATCTCGCTAGCCTACCCCGTTTTCCTGTCTCCTTTTGTTCCTATGTTTACAGTGTACTACTTATGACCTGTAGACTTTTGGTGAAAACTCTTAAGCTGAGTTTATTTTCTCCTAATCCTCACTGGAAGTTATTGCACGAAAGTTATCTACATTGTCACTTACACTTACATAGCAGAAGCGCCAGGCCTGTCCTTCATTTCACTCACATATACGCGTACTACGAGTATCGTGGTTTCTATGCTTTTTTTTT